AGGAAGGAAGGAAGGAAGGAAGGAAGGAAGGAAGGAAGGAAGGAAGGAAGGAAAAGAGGAAGGAAAGGGGGACGGTAAAAGAGCATGGGGCAGTTTCCCAGTGTTGTGGGGGCCAAAAATAGCATTTGCTTCCTTGTGGGTGTCACGAGCCACCAATTCCAGCTGCAGGAGTGTAGGATTCCACTTCACTGCAACAGCTGCAGTTCCTCCTGGCTACTCCTTGACTACTGAAAGAGCAAGAAAGGATGCAGCTCACTCAATGGATGGGAGACAGCCAGTTGGCTGTTGTTGACTTTCCCATAATTGGGGATAGTCCTCCAGAGAGGGTGTGTGCCTCAGTACCCCAGCATGGGAGCCTGGGGAAGGAGAAGCAGAATTTCAGCAATGAACAGTCCCCAGTACAGAAACCAGGAGAAAGATTTGCAGGATTGCGAGGGCTCTTTGCTTTCCAAGGACTGGACGCACCACAGCATAGCAAAGCTGTACATGATGCTTTAGTGCAGCACACACCTTCCCCAACTACAGGCTGTTGCTCTCCACTCATCCGGGACTTGCGAGGTGATGTTGCCCTGTAAATGTGTCTTTAACACTCAGTCCTTTAATATGTCGTTCAAGCAAAATCTTTGAGTCTGTAAAGTGGCAGACAACCTTTGCCTCCTTCCAGACGTTCTTACTCTAGTTGAGAGAAGGGGCTGCTTCAGTGTGGTTGTTCCTCTTCTAGTTGCTCCCGGCAAAGCTCCCGGCAGGGCTCCCCCCAGGATATGCTGCTCCCCATAACTTGTGGTCCTGGCAGTTGACTGATAGTCCTCTTGCCTGTTTGCGATAGCTGCCAATCTCCAGGCATCGCCTCCGCTTCCCTGTCTGCAGGCTGTTTGCTTATCGCCTTTCCTCCTACACACACCTTTTCCCACTCTGCCTTGGCATTTGATTTTCTAAGCTAAGAGCCTGGGTGGGGGCGAGGCACATCCTTGGAAACACCAGGGTGCAGCTCCGTCATCACAGGCAGCTGGAACGCCGGCCTGGATGCTTGTGAGTACAGCTGTGAGTTAACGAATGAATGCACGAGGGAAGTGGGGTGAGAAGCGTTTCTGCCTGGCTGCAGCTACTTTTCCCAACTTGACTGTCTCAGAAGGACCAAGAAACACGAGACGAGCAGATTCTTCTCCAGTTAAGGCTTACCAGTCAGGCAGGGAATTGGGCCTGGATGAAGAGAGTCTGATTCTCTGGCAGCATTTGCCCAACAAGCATAACGGGGTTATTTTTGCACGCGGACCTCTGAATTTCCTCTCCACTGTCCCAGCAGAGTTTGGTTTTTCTTGATGGAGGTGGGGGAGCTGGGAACACGGTCTTCCCAACACACTCCTGATTCTCTGTCCTTGGTTTCCAGGCACACCATTGCCACAGCTAAGCTGGAAGAGAAGCTCTCTGGGGCCCACAAGAGACTGGGTGAGCTGCGGGCTTTGGAGGCGAGTCTTCAGCAAGAGCAGAAGAAAGCCGATACACACAAAAAAATGACCGAGTTCTAGGTTTTGTCCGTCAGATTCGTCTGTGGAAGGAGATTCCGGTCCAGGTTGGGTGGCAGAGTAGCTGCTAGACCGAAACCAGTTCCATTCTTCTGGATTTCCTTCAGTTGCACCAGTGGGCTGGTATGAAATGGAGGCCCGGGAGCATGGACAGCCTAGCAGCTTGCCTTTCCTCTTCATGCAGAACCCCCAGAAAACATCCACAGCCGGGCCCAGAGCTGCCAATATTCATCTGGTTCAGGAGGGGTTTCTGCTACGCCTCCTCCAGGACTTCTTTATGGCTGCTTGGGGACCGGTGGCCTCTTTCCTCCCCTCTCAGCAGAGACAAACACTACTGTGGAGGACAGAGAAAAATAAAATGAGAAAAATTCTGGGTTTTGTACTAATGTTACTCTGCTTGACCAGCAGAAGGCACAACAGTATCCTTGTCCAAAGGGATCCTTGGGTTGCATCAGTTTTCAAGCTGGCGGGACACACACACACACACACACCCTCCCCAGGGGCCAAGCCTCTTTCAGTTCTACCATGTTTAGTCCTGGCAACTTCACTCCAGCTACTCTGAAAAGGCTCAAGACGGAAATGGGTAATCCAAGTGGCCGGAAACTTTTTCAGGCACTCTGAGCAATCTCCCTAAAAACTCATAATTCCGTCTTCCTAAAAAATTCAATGTTTTAACATTCTCACAAGAACTCACTTGCCTTGTGTCTGTTTAGTGATTGTCGAGATGCTGGAATTTTAAGATTTCACATCGATTTGGGGGCTACGTGGCTGGTGTCGGCCTCGCATTTGTGGGGGAGGGGTTGCAAACCGCTTGCCCGTCGGGTCTGGAAAAGAAATGGCTGTTGCTGTTCCTTGGACCCAGCAGAGACAGTAGTGGCAAATTGGAAAGCTAGTGGATCTCGGAAAGAGGATCAGCAAGCGTGCTGCTGGGGTGCATGGGGGGAGCAGCAGTGAGCTCTATGTACCAGGGTAATTCAGATATGGCTGCTGTTTCCTGTGCACGTTTCCTTTTAGGCCATCATTCTAAGTGAAAAAGAAAAGCAGCTCGCTGTGGTTTTCCCCCTTTCATCTTTGAAAGCCGTTTATGTTATTCAAACTCCATTACAACTGATGAAAGACCATCTTGGCTTCTGTTTTTTCTGAGACGAAGATGATGTTTTCTTTGCTTCTCTGATTCCCCGGTTAGGAAGATTCCATTCTGGATAAAATTCACCCTTGATATCCATGAATCTTCCCACTTCCACCCCCCACCTTTTTACGTACATTGGCAATATAGAAAGTACAAGCCCATAAGCCAGTGTTTCTCAACCTTGGCAACTTTAAGATGTGTGGACTTCAACTCCCAGAATTC